TTGCATTCTCCATAGGAAAGTGGCTAAGCGCCGAGTTTTCAAGAAAGGAAGCGCACGCAAGCCTGATGACGATTGTTGTGGGACAAAAAGACACCCTTTTAGATGCGGAAGCATCTTATACTCGCGCCTTGTAGTGCGCCGTCCGCGCCGTCCGCACCGCTTCTCGAACATTCGACAGCTGACGCGCGCGCATGCGCCGTCGCGCCGTCGCCCACGTGCCGCGCGCGCTTCTCCTTCGAGAACATTCGACAGCTGACAGCGCATGCGCCGTCGCGCCGTCGCCATCTGTGCCGCGCGCGCGCTTCTCCTTCGAGAACATTCAACAGCTGACAGTGCATGCGCCGTCGCGCTGTATATATACTCAAGGTCGGCGCTCGCTCGCTCAGTTGCCGCTCGTCGGTTGGTTTGTACGGTGCGTCGACGTCCAAGGTCGCGGTGAAATGAATTCCGACGAATCCACAAACACAATGATCGACGTCCCTTCGACCAGCGCCGTCCTTTCGCATACGTGTGTACGTGTTCACTCATTTAACACCCCCTCCTACAACCACGTTAACCAATTTAGCCATCGACCCAAGTAAGTCGCAATTTAACACCCCATTTCACAACCACGTTAACCAATTTAGCCATCGACCCAAGTAAGTCGCACTTTAACACCCCGTTAACCAATTATATGCTCCGCATCCTCCTCAGTGTTCCCCCGAGGGAAGCTGCGGGCAATTTTTTACTCGACATTTTTTTTAGAGTGTGTATACCACCCCTGCCATTCGTCCTAACACTGCATCCTTTCCAGCGCGCATATATTGGTGCACTACAAAGCGAGGTATACGGTATACCCTCAAGGCGCAGGGCCAAGGTGTTCGCGCGGCTCACTCTTGCTCATAACGGCGGCGCATGCTGCACCGAATTGATACGGGACGCGTTATCATGAGAGCGCAGATTTCAGCCGCCGCACGTGACGTGCACGATACATGATACGGGCGCGTCGAGTATGCAGTGGGAACTGTGTGGGGCGCCTGCGTGTTATCTTATGGGTCAGCGACGAAAAAGAGAAACAATATGGTGAAAGAGGTTTTTGGACGGAGGCAGCAGAAGACAGGGATATCTTGGCGTCTTTTTATAGCAGCATAAGTAAAAGGCCATGCGCAGCGTCACACACACACACACACACACACACACACACACACACACACACACACACACACACACACACAATATATATATATATATATATATATATATATATATATATATATATATATATACTGAGATCTAACAGACAATAATGCCAAGGAATGTATAGAAAAAGTTATTAGAACAAATGGAATGTAAAGAAGAAGAAAAAAAAGTGGGTGAAAAAATAACCAGCCGTGAGCAGGAATCGAACCCACGACCTTCGAATAACGCGTGCGATGCCCCTATACATTCCTTGGCATTATTGTCTGTTAGATCTCATTATTATTGTGTCAAAACACGGAACAACGAGCCCTTAGGTATACACTTCTCTCCCTTATATATATATATATATATATATAATAAGGGAAACAAGTGTCTACCTAAGGGCTCGAGAATGTACAGGGGAAGTGTATATATATATATATATATATATATATATATATATATATATATATATATATATATATATATATATATATATATATATCCAAAGAGCACAGCTTGTAAGGAATACCGATTGCCTGCACCACCACCAAGGCGGTTGTCGAAAAGGTTGAAGCGGTGGCAAGTTCTCAACGATGGCCGTAACACTTTACAGCAAGATATATTACTCTTCGTTTCTTTGTTTTGCGGTATATGGGATTCTGGATATGTCAATTTATAGAGCATCATTAAGAAAAAAAAAATGTGCCCGAAGAATGCGGAACAGATGGACGTGTGCTGGTTCAAGTATACAGCAATAAGTATTTCCGATTGTTTCGTGTTTACACTTAAGGTGCTTTTGCAGTATGTACAGGGAAATAATAGCGGTCGCGGCGCAGGCCCCATTTAAATGGTATAGCTGAATGCGGAACACCGGCTCATCGCGTTACTTGGAGCTCTACGCGAACAACCCTACAGGTCGTCAAAATTAAACAAAAAGAAAGCTTCCCCCAGAACTTTCCCTCCCCAAGCGCGAAATCACTTCCTGGCAAGTTTGGAGAAAGCGCGCAGATCAGCTCTGGGCTGTCCACCAAGCCCGCGAGGCGGCTGAGGAGCTTGGCATCTCAGTCCCCACGTGGGAGCTGCCCGCAACACAGTGATCTGTGTTTTGGAGGACCAAATAAAAGTTTATCCAATCCAATCCAATCCGCGCTTCTGGCACCCGGAAAGCACGTGACCTCTCTCTACTCTATAGGAAATGGAAATGCCTGCAGCACAAGTGCGAGTGCCGACTTAAGTGAGAGGAGGAAACAGCTTTGAAATTGTCGGAGCGCTTCGTATACGTGCGAAACTATGTCGTGTCAACATGTTACGAACGTTTTGCAGAGTGTTACCATGTATTCTGTAGACGATCAGATCATGGAACTGCAGAATATGTTTCGCGAACACTGCATTAACGCTGAAAAGCAGTTCTCTGATGCCATCAGAATAGCAAGCGAGTCAGCCAATCGCTTAAACAGCTCGGATTAGGGTGCTCGTTAAAGAACCCCAGGTGGGCGAAATTTCCAGAGCCCTCCAATACGGCGTCTCTCATATACATATGGTGTGTTTTGGGGCGCTAAACCCTACATATCTATCATGTGTAATCGCTTAAACATCTTTATATCTGTGCCAAGGCAAACCTCTCGTCTGAACCAAATTTACGGAATACGCTTGGAGACCTTCAGACATTCTTTGTGACGTATGCGAGTCACTATGATGATGGGTATTCGCAATATACGCCATCTCCATACATGTGAACGTGCGTCCAAAGAAGTTGTTGCAAATGAAAACTATACCTCTAAGCTAACGATCCACGCACACTTGATACTTGAACGACGTTTTTTTTTTTGTGTGTGTATGAGAATGAATACTTGCAGGATATGCGCGGACACACAATCACTCAAGGCACCTACTATGACAACAATTAACGCGAAAATAAAGGAAAAAAAACAAGAAAAAAGACAGACGGGCGATATCGAGCAGCCCGTTGATTGCCGACGGCCACCCGATGATCAAAATCGATCATTGCCGAGTATATATAGTTCGGCAGCAGCGGCAGTTCGGCGGCAGCTAGCAAACGTGTCCAGGGCGTTTCTGAGCTGAATAAGACCTGCGTTAAGCGATGAATGAACAGTGTCGAGCTTGTTTTGATTGCTCTTTCTCTCTTTCGCCATGTCTGAGATGTTGAATAAATCGAATTGAAATAGACCGCAGTTTCAACCGTGCAGCCATTTAACGACGAGAAGAGAGCAAACAACTTTTTTTCACGCCTAGACGTCTGGATGTCAAGTCAAACGTCCTCTTATACATAAAATACAACCACAGAGCGGGCTGAGAAACAATACTAAGCAATAACTTCACGTGCTGTGTTGAAAAAAAAAATCGCGATGCTGGTAACCATACTCTCAAAACAATATATCTGCATCTTTTGGGCATGTATTTTGTTTCCAGACTTTTCTCCTACACATGCATTAATGGATGCATGGATCACGGGCGCGTCGGCAGGGGGGTGCAAAAGGGGCACTTGCCCTTCTGAAGCTACCCACACAGTAACCCCCCTCCCCCAAAGAAACACCAGTGGCCATCCCCCTCTCCCGCCACGATGCAACACGGGGCTGCAACCCCTAAGGCATCCATGCATGCCAACGCCCATGCGTGGATCCATTGATTGCTCCGAATTTGATCGGGACGACACAGCAAATAAATATATTTCGTACCGTCACTTGGACGCTCACCTACAAATGATATTGATATGGAAGGAAATGTTCACGAAGGAAGCAATTCCTGCATGTTAAAGTACATTATGACGTACCGTCACACTGAAGAACTTGGACAGCTGAAGTGTCTGGAGACCATTGGCTTAACCGGTCAGAAAACCTGCAATTCCCGTCTGTTCATCCCTCGTACTGCCGTCAACCCGGTAATACCCTTGCAATACGCGTACACTGCGCATCAAATCATTTCAAACCTTCACCACACGCATGCACGAGTATGCGAGCTAGCGATTAGTCATCACTGTGGGACAAAATGACAGCCTAAAGAAAAAAGAAAAGGACGTAACGTTGCTGAGAATAGTCAACGTTTCATCGTAAATCCCGTACAAGCAGAAACGCTATTGCGACACTGGTTGCGCCTTCGGTACATCGTTGTCTTCACCATTACCCCCCCTCCCCCCCCCCCTACTCCTGCAATTTGAAGAAAGCGCCTGTCCGTGTACGCTCTCATGCATATACGTTTCATGCATAGACATGCAGAAGTTTTCATGCATAGACATGCAGTATGTGCGTGAAGCCACAATTGGTTTCTTGTAAGGAAGTATATTTAAGGTACCTGGATGCGCACAGGCACATCTCTATCTAAATACGTGAGGCAGACGTTAATACGGTGAAAGATAAAAGCATGAATAGATGAACAGTCTGAGCACTGGGTGTCGGTGCAGCCAAATTTCCGACAAGCGGTTTTTCGTTCTTCACGGAAGCTTGCAACTTGCTCCCTTGAAGTTGAAGACCTGTGGACGGCTTGTCGAAACTTAGGGTTTAGCAACGCCTAGTGCACAGAGACTGTTCACGAACATCAAACGATGACGGAAACGCTATTAACAGTTCTCAAAATATGCACGGTAATCGGCCTTTTCTAATCTCTCATTCTGCCTCGCTTGTTCTTTAGTTTGTTACTCAAAGAGTCGCCAAAGCAGGAGCTGTCTTGATCTCATTGTGCTATATATATGCTTTGTTTCCGGACTGAGCATGCGCAGCTCTAGCGAACTATAGAGGCCACGCACATAACGCGTGGTGGCCGTCGGGGCAGAGACATTTCTCATCCTGCGACTGATTCGCTTTTTTGTCTCATCTCGACGACAGCGGAGCAAGCGGATGAGCAGGTACTCGCTTCTCACGGAATCCAGCGGATCTGTCAAGGTGCTGCTGAACGTCGTGAGCCAGACCACGTAAGCCCTTCCTTATCACTTAGACTTGTCGACTCGTAAGGGTACGTGCTAAACTTGAAGTTGAATCGAATACATTTTACAAAGCGAATGTGGCGCCAAAAGCGGAAGTAATCGAATAGCCGAATATTGAAGAGCCGTTTCTTACGATTATCGTGAGGTCATGTTCACGTGCTACATCATACAATACAGAAATGGAGTAGAACTAGGACGAGAAACTTGGGCTAGTAGGTCGTCCGTCATTACGCCGGAAAAAGAGCGCTTATAACGTACGAAAAGTGAAGACACGACGCAGGCGCTGTGTCTGTGTCGTGTCTCCACAGTGAAGGGCAACGTGTGTGTAGATGTGACTTTGTCCATAAGCGTGCAATGGACAAGGTGACATCTACACACACGTTGCCCTTCACTTCTCTCTCTCTCTTCTCCTTTAATCACCTCACCCCTTCCCCCAGTGCAGGGTAGCAAACCGGGCGTGCGTCTGGTTGACCTCCCTGCCTTTCATTTCTTCCCTTCCTCCTCCTCCTCCTCCACATATCCTCGCACATTTTAACACTGTTTTTCCTGCTTGATCACAAATGGAGCATCAGAAAAAAAATTAGCAGGCTACAATCTCAGGCCTACCCTTTTCCTCCCTTTTCCTAACTGCGCTAACAAACACGAAAAAAGAAGCCAGGAGACAGGATGCGTGCAGAGTCACATAAATGTTTAAATGGTGAAATGTGATTTATAGGCACACAGAGAACAACTGAATGAAACATGTTCATTGGCCATCCAAAGCGAGGATACGCTGGTCTCGCGAAGCGTCATGTAAAAAACAAAACAAAAAAACACTGCAACTCACAATCACTGTGAAATATACGCAACGCAACGAGGGTGTACTGACTCCCCCTGAAAGCTTTTCATGCCTTTTTCTTTCGGGTGGCGCTTTCACAGCAACCACCAGTTGTCATAGCTGTTTTACATGAAAACACCCTCTTCATCTCCCCTCCCCCCCCCCCCACAAAAAAAAATCCTGGGTGCGGTGGTACGGCCTCGCTATATATCATGGGTATATGAGCGAGACGATGCAGTGACGATGAAGTTTATCGTGTATTTTAGCATTGATTTTCCGTTTGTTCGGGTGCAGTTGAAAATTTTAAATATAAGTAAGCTATAGAGAATCACTCCAACGTACAAGTAGCAGCTGTTCGATTCGAAGATCGAGTCGAATAGGACACTTGATTCGATATTCATACACAGGCCTCATACACTCTCGCTCTATCTAAGCCTTTTTTTTTCGGTTCGTATTGCGCCTTCTCTGCATTTTCAGCACAGAGAAATCAATGTAACATCGCCACAACAGCCTAAGGTTCTGGCCAATAACGTGAAAGCACGCTTATCTCATTTTCAGATAAAGGTAGGAACCAAAATTTCGAATTGTATCCGTTACGCTAAACTACGTACTGCGCATGGTTCTTGCGCCTGGCAAACGAAAAAAAAATGGGGGAGGGGGCTACAGTCATGTCGCGTTTTTCAACTGACTTGAATATCTTCCGGTCTCCCCCCCCCCCCCTTTTTTTTTTCTTGCGCTCACGTCCTAGAATTTTAGTCTCCGCGTGCTTCCACTATTCCGCGTTGTAAAACTTTTTTTGTTGTTGTTCTTGAAGCATGAAAAGCTCAGACAGTGGCATGGCTGCACTACGCTGGATTTCCTTGCGTATGGCCTTACCTAATTTGAAACAGGATACGAATAGATAATTGGTCGAGTTAGATTACGTTCACGGTTCGCAACGCGGACAGGGTAGACCAGCGCTCGCCTCGTTTAGCCTCTTATTTGTTGGCGTTCTTTTGCGCTCTGTAAGTCACGGCTGTAATTGGGCATCATTTTCCTTCCTCGGTGGATATCATATAATTCAACGACGAGTTGTTTAAGCAGCGTCGGTTTACCATGCAATGAGTGACCAGTAAAAGAGCGAGATATTGTGGGATGCACCGTCTACTACCGGTTTCTTGTTCGAGAAGAGTAGACGACGGCGAACCGCTTCGCCGCAAGCCTCGGATTATTCGGGATTTGCGCCCGTTTATCTTCGTCCTGATAAACCATGGTCGGTTGTTCAGCTGTTGGCTGCTCCTACTCGAGCGTGAAAGGCAGATGCAGGTATCGATTCCCATGGAATGTATAAAGAAAAATGAGGCGGGCCGCGGCTTTGAAGAGAGCCACAGCGACAGGTAGCCTTCGAGAACGGAACGTTGAAACCAGAGTGTGCGAAAACCATTGTATACACAGGTACGTGTGTATTTCACACTAATAAAAAGCTTACGCATGAATTTGCTGCGGCTATTATATTGAGAAACAAATTGTCGCGCAGGCGCGCCTCGCAAAGATATTATGGGAACGCACGGGCGAAATCTACCTGCCATATACGGGATGAGCGCCGGCCATTGCACCCATATACATAACAAAAAACGCGAAAGCTTCCCTCAAGAGTAAGTTTACACGAAGTGCTGGACGGGATCATTTACGTTTATCTTGGTCAAACTGTTCGTCACACAAAGAAAGAAGTGCGTTAAACAAGCGCAGGGTTTCGATTATCCGGCTCCGTCCATGTCAGACTGTATTGTTATGTGCCGCCGTGCCGCGCAGCTTGATCCAAATCAGCGTTCAAATAATCATCTGGCTTCGACTAAGAAATGTATTTGATAGCGCGCCGAAGGTTAGAAAGAAAAAAGATATCTCAACGCGCTCAATAAGTGCTGCGCTTCATGCCGATCGACTGACGATGTCGGCCGAAGCAGCGATCCCGAAATGACCACTAAGAACACCGCTACAGTCAGCCCTATACCCCGAGATCCTTAAAATGGTGATTTTTTTTATCAACAGTAACGTATCATACAATGAAAACTGTCTTCTGTATCGACTGATCTGCTAGCCGAACTTACACAGTACACCCGAGCAGCATAAAAGCATTGCAGATCATTTTAGTGCGATAAAAAAGTTTCTTCGCCGTTCATGGCTTTCGCAGCTTTTCATCGTCGCAGTCACGGTTAGCCAGAAAAAAAAAAAAAAAACTTCTCAAGCACTGACAGTGCACGAAGAGGTCCCCCCCCCCCCCCTTTTTTTTTTCTAACGGAGCGGTACAAAAATGCACGCGTGTCTTTCGTGTCCTTCTTGTCTCTGTGTCGTCGTTTTGTTCTCGCGCTATAACTATCGTCATGCCATACCAACCAACGTTACTAGAACCTGGTTCTAGTAACGTTGATACCAACTAGCCCAAGCTGCCACACCCGGCGCTGCTCACCCGCGTGGTGCGTCGAACCGAAAGCCGTCATATCCCACAGTTCCCTGCGATTGCCCACATTACCGGTCACCTATTCCGTACCGTCTTATAGACGTCACGCAACTTTTTCAGTTTACGAGCCACTTTGATCATCTTGCCGCACGTTCTATAGTGGCTAAGGTACTCGGCTGCTGACCCGCAGGTCGCGGGATCAAATCCCGGCTGTGGCGGCTGCATTTTCAATGGAGGCGGAAATGTTGTAGGCCCGTGTACTCAGATTTGGGTGCACGTTAAAGAACCCCAGGTGGTCAAAATTTCCGGAGCCCTCCACTACGGCGTCTCTCATAATCATATGGTGGTTTTGGGACGTTAAACCCCACAAATCAAAATCATCTTGCCGCACGCAATGAGCAAATCGCGCGCCTGAAACAAAAAAAAAAAAAGGGGGGGGGGGAAGAAAGTTGAGAAAATCGCTGAAAAAAAGAAGTTCACGTACCTTTTATCTGTTTCTTCGGCGAATAATTATGATGTCAAGCTTCCACAATACGGGTCGAATCACCGTGCATTCTGGGTTGACATTCAAAGATCGTACATTTTCCGAAGTCGCTGAAATGTGGCTGGTCGAAGTTATGTAAGCGCAACTAACCTTATACAAACTGAGTAAGCCGTTCGTACGTAAGCAAAGTACCTTATTGTATGAAGGAAGTTAAGGCGATTAAATCGGCCACCCTCCTTCGATCTGTGCCACCACGTGCCCCCTCGGACCCTGCCACTTACGTTTCAAGTTGGAAAAAAAAAAAAAAGAAGGAATCAACACAGACGTCACAGGGGCAAACAGATATGCCACCTGGTGTGACTTCGCTCACCTTTGCTAAAACTTATTATAAGGGCGTTAAATGTCGTCACTTCCCCAAGTGAAGGGCAGCTGAAAGCTCGGTGTGGCGGCGCGGCGAGCAGATGTAGCGTTAAGTTGCCGATTTCACGCGGCGCCAATGGTCTTACGAGACAGGTTTCATGCGTTTGTACACAAGCGTCGAAACCATTTCGAAGAAATGCTCGCCAGGCATAGTCATATAGGAACAACACTCGCTCTGTGCCGCTGTATCTGTGCTACTTAGACAACAAACGGCTTCAGTTTCTGTCCATCACAAAGAGATGCCATCATGAAAGAGGATTAGTTTGGCTTGAAAGTATGACTTAAAAAAAAAAAATATCTTTCGGTACCGTCATATTGTCACAATGCAGAAACAGCAGCAGTCGAATCCAGGAAACTCACTTTAATTGTACCAGAACAGTGGCAAACTGATCGGAAGAGAACCTCGTCTTCTTCTTTCTCTGCGCGTGTTCTTCGTTGTTCTCTTGGCGCTGCTTATTCAATGTGGCATTTGCCCCCCTCCAGAGAGCAGCGTCCCGATGCTCTTCTACAAAAAACGGTGGAGTAGATGTATGGTGTAAATCAGTCCGAAAAGTAGGGCTTCATTTGCACAACGTGCACGATTTCTGGTTTTTGCTGGCGAGTTGTCGAGGGGCTGCCAGGAACGACCACGTAATTAACATCGCTCAGACGTTGTAAAACTGTGTAGGGGCCAAAATACTTCTTCAGCAATTTTTCGGACAGTCCCCGGCGGCGGATAGGACTCCATACCCAGACTTTGTCGCCGGCCCGATAGACGACATGTCGGTGTCGCAGATTATAACGTTGGGCGTCATAATTTTGCTGCTGGGTGATTCGGACGCACGCAAGCT